TCCATCTTACTCCTTAAAGCACACAACTTAAAGGAAGAAAATCTAAGTATCCTGCAAAAGGATATGATTCAGCTACCTGTGGTTTCAGAGAGAACAAACATATGGACTCCTGGGCAGCAGTCATGGGGACAGTGAGCTCTCATATCACACCCCTTGTGTGTGAAGGCGTGCAGTGGGGAGGGTGCTGCAGTTCTGGAAGAGATCAAGTTCCTAGCTTCTTTGCTTACCAAAGCAAATAAAGCCAAAGACTGACACTTTATAAACCACTTTTTAAAAGTAAAACTGCTGACTTCCCTGGCGACAGTAACATAGGCTGACTTTAGGAGGCAGTGAAGCCCTTTTTAATAAATGCAAGTGTGTAGATTTGGACAGACATTTTGGACTTACAAAGTACCTAATAATCTCCCCTAAGGGAAGGTCTACTACTCCAAGTGAAAGATTTTTGGATTGGCTTTTATCCCTCCAAATTCCAGGGCAAAGATATGATCCTGCGAATTAGAGAATCAATATAGCTGAAACTTTAGAGAAACATGGGTTCAAATTCTGTGTGATATTTATGAATTCTGTGATCTTGATAACAATCCAAGTTCTTTGTAAGCCTTAGATCCCTCATGTTGGAGGTGATAATTACAATACCTCTTCCATAGAGTTTTTGAAGGGATTTAATATAGAATGCTTGAAGTGTTCAGTATGTTCATGAAGAAATCTCTCAATAAACATTTGCTGGATAGCAAATATTGTGAAGCTGATGAGATTTTCATTTCTATATGTGAATGAGCCCTATCTTTTCCATGTCTGCCATACACATGTGGACTTTCTGGAACAAGGCTACAGGCCATAAGAGTTAGATCCATGCAGCATCTGGAGGGGCAACTGTTTTTCTTCAAATACCATGACTTCTTACTTTCTATCTTAAGGGAGCTTCTGGAACACTGCAATCACAAGATTCTTGAGACGTGGCTCAAGAATATCATAAAAAAGATGAAAATAATGATTTGTGGGGAAAGATGGAAGGATGAGATTCTTCATTTATTTCTTGTCTACAGAAACTTTGGGTGAGGAGAGTGCCACCTGGCTATAGTATTATTTTCCTTGCAGCGAACAAAAAACAAAATGGGCTAAGGATAAAGTTTGATAAGCTATAAGTAAGAACATTTTTTATCAGGAAGGGATGTGAGATAACTGAACAAGAACAAAGATCATCACCTAGAAATATCTATGATGAACAAGTATAATAGGTCACAATTATAAGCTTCCCAAAAGCAGCCACAAACTTCTATTCTTGTACAATATCATCAAATATAGTCAGAATTTTCTTGTCTTCCCAAATAGCATTGCTACTCCATTAAAAACAAAACAAAAAACAGAGACCAAAAACAAGAGCAAAAAGTGAAAAGAAAATCAAGGGAAATTCAGCAGCAAGCCCTCTGATTTCATTCATGGCATGGGCTACATATAACTTTTACTAGTTTTCATTTACCAGACAGCTATCTTTTCAGCTAGCTGGACCTAGGAGAAGCGTTAAGGGATGGGTGGAGGAAAGAGAAGAACTTAGCTTGATTCTAAAACTCTTCTCATTAGAATGTATTTTAGTTGCTACTCATGTTGTTAGATGCACCAGTAAGCCTGGAAGTACTACTGACTGATATACTTATCTTGTGCTTGCCTGTACTGAATGGGGCTTAGGTGCTTTACTTTCTGATGTTAAGACTGGGAATGTTCTGGGTGTTGCTTTAACAAATGAACCCACTGGCACAAAATCATCTTGAAAGCTCTCACAAAGTCTTCATTGTTTAGAAGTTCAATTCTGTGTAGTTCAGAGAGACAAACACATGGTGATAGGTGGCAGCAGGTGACTGGTATGGGATAGAGTATACTGATGACATAAGTGGAACTCATTTGGAGCTACTAGCTACAGATATTAGAAACATGAAATACTTTTATCCTTCTTCCCTTTTCTGAAGAATGAATATTAAGACCTAACATTTACTTGATCCTTTGTAATACACCTAAAGAGAAAGATAGCTTTATTAATCCTATTTTCCAGATAAGGAAAACAAAGCTCAGAGAATTTAAATAAAGAACAGTGATCTACTATAATTGATAAGAACTTGGGCTTTGGAGCACCTGGTTGAATGCTGGCTCTACTACCTATTAACTTTGTAATGGTAGGTAAGGCTCTGAATTTCAGTGATCACCTGCATTAAATTGTAAAATATAAAAAAAGTAGGGACTGTGTCTGTTTTGTGTACTGCTAACCTGCCCATAGCAACATTTTTTTTCAATGAATAAAGGTATAAAGTCAAAATAAATCCCTAGTTGTATATAGAAAAACAAGTATTTTAAAGTAAAATGGGATAGATGCTACAAATTTGATAAACAAACTTTTATCATCATCAAGCCAAGAAAAAGCTCAGATTAGAGAGCACGACTGAGATACCATACCCTGGCTTAGAAGTTTCTCAGCCTGCATTTGAACCCTGAAAAGGGCCTTGTCTTTTCCATGCCTACTGTGCCCCAAGGCTTGCTTCCCTTGAACAAATGTCCCTACTTGGATTTCCAAGGATGCTTGCTATATGAATTACCAGTTCTTTCTTCAGTGATCCTTCTGTAATTCTCAGGGTAAAGTTATCTCTTCTTTATTTGGACTTGCTCAACCCTTTAATATTTCAAGTTATTCAAACTTCAGGTAAACCTTTTTTCCTACCTCTTAAATATTGACCTCAATCTTTTTGAGTTTTTCATGATGCATTTATGCTTTTATGCTCTTACTGAGTCATTTCTTGTGCTCTTAAACCAATTCATCATATAAATGACTTCAATGGGTCATCAATGATCATACACTACCAGTCTGGGGGAGTTTATATTTTTTAAAATACTTCTAAGATCAACAAAGGGAAGACCAAAAGAGGGAGAGGAGAAATGAAGGCCTAATAACAAAAGTCATATGGAATGAATAAAACAGAAGGGATCTACAAGTGAAAAGGTATTGGGCAGGGAAATACTTATTCCTTTATCAAATATGTAATGAGTCTATACTGTGATCCAGGTCCTGTGTAAGTTGCAGGGATACAAAGCTAGTTGTGGCCCTTAAAGCACAAATAGTCTATAACCAGGTTTTTCAATCTCAGCACTACAGACATTTTGGGAAGGATCTTTCACCACTGTTTGTGGAGGAAGAGCTGTCCTGGATAGCAAGGATGCTATGCAGCAACCCTGTCCTCTATCCACTGGATGTCAGTGAACATCCTGTGTCTTCTTCCTAGCTATGACAACCAAAAGTTTCTCCAGATATTGCCAACTGTCTCTTTAGAACAGGAATGCCCTCTAATTGAGAACCACGAGCTTGGAGAAAATGAATAATTTATATAATAAGTTATGATAAGAGTATTGTCAAAACATTTCAGTGTAGAGAACTCCTTAATTCTAAGGGAAAGTGGGAGAGGATGTCATAGAAAGTTTCAGGGAATAAACAACATTTAATGCTCAGTATTTGAACAGGATTTAGTAGTAAGTCAAGAAGAAAACAAGAAGGAAAGTTGGGGCCTTAAGGTGGGAGTAGGAGAAAAATAAGTAGAGAAAGACCATTCATGCAGGAACAAGAGGATAAGCCTGGAAGAAAGAGACCACAGAATATTCAGGCAATGATAGATAGCTTGTATGGGGGTGGATGGAAATAAGGCTGTGGCCAGATCATGCCAATTTTTGTGGTGCTGGGGATGGAACCCTGGGCCTTGCACATGCTAGGCAAACACTCTACCATTTAGATACATCCTCAGCCCAAGGGAGGTAGAATTTTAATGTTAAGAAGTAAATATGTATGTTTAAGTTTCTTTTTTTTTTTTTTGGTGCTGGAGATTTAGCCCAGGGCCTTATGTATGCTAAGCATGTACTATATTACTGAGCTACACCTCCAAGCCCCAGTCCCAAATACAGATTTTAAACACAGTAGAGCCTTTTTCAAACAAAGCATTGCCTAGATCCTCGGCATATTAAACTGATCAAAGTGGAACTACTTTGGTTAGATCATGGTTCTAGCAGTTTTCAGCTTAGCTTCTAAGTTGGCTTCTGCAGCACTTTCATAGAACCCTAGAACTCTGGGAGACATATTGGAAAAACTATGTTATAGGCAATAGGGAACCACTGAAGAATTTTAAGTGCAGAATGTATGTTCAGATTTGCTTTTCTGAAAAAGCATTCTAGTGGTAGAGCTGAGTATGGAAAAAAGACAAGCAGAAAAGCACAGAAGCACAGAGACCAGTCAGCATTTTATATGTGGGTTCACTTGAGACTAGTCCTAGTCTCTATAACTCACAGACAGTGTCTCTGGCCTTGTTTTGTTTAGCAAGTCTGGCATTTGTTCCATGGACAGGAAGTCAGGCACTAAAACCTCCATTTATGTATAAATCTTTTAGCAGATCAAGTCATGGTGGGATCACAAAGCCTACATTCAGCTAAGCTGCAAATTCAAGTTTTCTCTATGTTTTACTATCCTCTATCAGTAAACACTTCTTCAGTTGTGAGTATCTGTGCCATACTTGGAAAAAGCAATCTTGATATCAAGAGCACAGATGTGCTTTACCTTATGTTTTCCCAGTGTTTATCATCACAGTGACTATGTATTATCTGTTAAGAGAATATCCATTGTAACAAGGTAAAAGGTCTACAGCTTGGGATATAACTGGGAGGAAAACTGATTCCAGAGTAGAGAGAGTTCAGCTAAAATACCTTAAGATCACAGGCAGTGCCTGTAACTTTGTGCATTATGTCAGAAGTCTTACAGAACCAGGTACAAACAAATTTAGACAATGAGGTTGCGTAAAAGCTTTCTGATACTCTCCAGGCAGTCTTCATCCCTGTACCCCATAACAGAAAATCTACCTTCTGTTGTGGTTCCAGGTTCCCTAGAGTCTACACTTCTCTTTCTAGTGCATAAGACAGCAACATGTCCAACTTCTGTGCGATTTGAGAATTTAATGTGAAGAACTCAGGAGTCTTACCTCTGAACTAGTGTTCCAAAGATAAGGCGAAGAAATTTCTGCATGTTTTCAGTACATAGCCACTTCCATTGCTCCATCAACAACAAGAGGATCAGGTCCAAGGCTGTGTCAGCTAACTCTGTCTCTGTTCCTGGGGGATAAAAAAACAACAAAAGTAACTCAGAAGAGAACCCCATTTGAGCAATGGCTTCTCCATCTTTATATCCATCATCTTGTACTTTTGTAATCCCTCTGCACTGAAATCAAGAGATGTTTAATCTATATCAAGGAAGTTCAGTGACAGGTTCTACATGTCTTTACAATATTTTTATGCTCCTGATACTGTCACTTAGAATTTTTGTCTTTGGAAAAATTCTGCACATAATTATTTTATCTACTCAGCTTCTGCTTCTACTATATTTCCCCAAGATGCTGAACTCATTCTGTTCCAAGGAAGAGCTGACAACTGGTGACTAACTAGAACTGGCAAGACTTTGTCCCTTCCACCCTGGCCTTCCACTCGCCCACACAATGCATCATGGAAATTGTGGCCAGATGTGGAGAAAGATTTGGGCTTCATTCTCCTGTAAAACCATCTCCATTATACAGAGCAGTGAGATTTGGATTCAGGAGACTTCAGTTTGATGCCGAGATAACTTGTGGTTCCAGGAAGAGCACCACACCTCTGGTAGAATGCCATGACATTTACTGATTTCTTTCCTTTTTGTACGATTGGAAGGGCCACAATGAGCTCATATTTATGCTAAGCTGGAGTTTCCTGAACACATGTATTTTATGGATGGAAGCATCTATTCTTTAAACCTGAGCTAGGAATCCAAAGTCCTTTCTGACTTGCTTCCTGGGAGACTTCCCCCAAAAGTATGTAATGTTCCACGTTTCAGAAGTATCTGGTGCTACTGCTGTGATTAATACTACATCTAATTATCAATGATAACTTTGTTAGTCTATAACCAGTGTCTATTATTGTCCTTGCTCTCCCCTTTAAGGATGCTTTAGAACATAGATGATTTCAGATTTTGATGGATCACTAGAACTGAATCCCACTTCCCCCTCAACTTTGTCCAAAACATACTTCCCTTTTTTGTACTGTATTTTAAGAGGGAAAGGGAACTGATGAATTGCTTTCTAGTCATTTTCTCAAAATGACCTTTTCCTTTTATTGAGAAAATAGCATTCTCCTCAATTCTATCATTTTCTAAGGTTCAGTGTTTGCCTGCAGCTGCCACCCTGTGGCAACACTTAGTCATAGCAGTAAAATATTTAAGAGAAAGCATACAAGGTACTGCTAAAGTCCTCTTGCAGAATGAGGTAAGTTTTCCATCATGTGAACATTTTGAGTCCCTCAGGGCTAGAGAAGGGAAGAGCTCAGGCATAAACTATCCTTTTAGAGATCTGACATTCAAAATTTACTGCCTGATTTTGGCTAGAAGGATATTGTTTTACCCATCCTACCTTATTATAATTCCTTAAATTTCTCTGATGCTTTTGCTGTCAAACCACTACACTTACTTATCAGTGAGATATGTGTGAAGGGATGGGGTTGTAACCCCACTTTTCCACATACTTAAGTTTAGGTTCACAGACATTTGTTCTTGGGCACCTGAGAGACAATAGCAAAATTGACTTTTTTTTTTTTCCTTCTTTTTCTGATCTCAAGATTTTGTGATCGTTTATTCTCAGCAGAGGTCTCTCTTGGTGGAATTGAAATTCTAGTTTAATTCCTAATACCTAGGCTCTGACTTTTCCCTTTGTGGAATGCATCCATCCTTCTGGGAAACAAAGCTGCCCTGCCTCAAATGCAAATGCGCATAAGTGGGGAGTAGAGCCTTTGCCTCTTCTCCCCCTTGTTCTGGCCTGGGAATTAAGTGGGATCACTGCCATAGCAGGAAATAAAAAACAAAGAATGGACCTGGGGGAAAAAAAATGAATTCTATTTTTAACATGTTGTACTTAAGCTGGTCTGTGGTCTGTCTATATCCAATAATTTAGGGATCGTCACCATGTGTGAAGACAAAAATTGAACAGTAGGGATGGGATTATCAGGAATAGTACGGAGTAAGAACAGTCAAAATTACAGCTGTGGAAGACTAACAAGGAAATTAAAAAAGAGGACCAAATAGAATCACAAAGGAGATAGAAAGAAAATTAGGAAAGTGGACCACAGATACTGAAGGACTGAAGCGTGTAGGTGAAGACAGAAGCCCCATGTGTGAAGAATAATTTAACTTAAATACATACTGAGATTATGCATATGGATCTTTTCTTGTTGTATTAGAACTCCCTGTGTCCATGCCTTGCTCTGTTGCTTGACTGGCTCTGGTGACCATGTCCTACTCATCTCTAATCCACAGCACTTCCAGTACTGGAGTTCACCACATGGCTTGCTCAGCTGAACACACAGAAATTACAGCTATAAAGCCTAACTATCCCACGTCCTAGTGGACTTCACCCTGGTTCCCTTTTCAGTGGGAGCAGAGTGCTTGCCACTTACCTGGGTCACTGCTGTCAAGATCTTGGTCTAGTACAGCTGTATCTGACAAGCAATGGTCCACATATTCTTTGGGGATTTGTTTAGGATCTTTTTCTGGTGTTTCTGTTGGCTGCATTTTCAGTAACTTTGTCTGCTTTTCAATAAAGGATTCCATCCCAGATATGGATAGGATATCTGATTCCTGAAGAACAGCCAAGGGCACATCTCAAGAAGAATGCAGAAAACAGGGCAGCAAATGTGGCAATCTAGGCTTCCTTATCTACAGACCTTGTGGTCACTAGGGGAGTTTCCATTCTTTACCCAAGTTGTAAGTAAAACAGGCTTGCCCTGGAATCATCACTTCCACACATATTGTTTGGGTTATCTTCACTTTTCCAGAAACTGGCTTTCCCTCTCATCCTGTCATTCATTATAGCAAATCCATTACCTTAAGAAGCCTATTTGCTAACCTAGAACTGGAAGAATTCCTAAGCACTAAGAGAAAGTACTTTCAGCATAAAAATTCAAGATCCAGAATGTTAGTTAAGTACTTTAGTAGAACATCTAAGTCCTTTCTTATGTTAGAGAATGCTCCAACCTCCTATGTCTGCAGAATCAATACCCTAGATCATGATTCCTGAGGTTCTCTCGGCTTTGGTTCTTACCACATTGCCTTCTTGGAAACAATAGAGAATCCTGTCTTGTGACTCAGTCATACTCAGTGTGGGAGCAATTTTACTGGATGTGAACCTCAGTCTGGACCTGATACAGAAACAAGGAACAGAAACACAATATAATTCATTGTCTTGATCCCCATACAAAGGCTGGCAAGTATTGATAATATATCAAAACAAGAAAACTCATACTTATTCTTGGGAGCTTACTGTGCTCAAAGTTGCCAGGAAAGAATTGGTACTGAAATTCTCCAAACAATGTATATTCTGTCAATTCTTCATAGGTAGTGCTACTTTTATACTAAACTATGTCTATGGTGAATTTGTGAAAGTAAAATAGAGTCCAGTCTGTTATGGTTATATTCCCAAAGTCTAGGAGAGTGGCCATAATGTGCGCTCATTAAAGATTTGTTGAAGATTAAAGACAAACAGCATAAACTAAGGGTTTTTCTTATTGTTGTTGGTATCCATTTAGGACAACCATTCATCCCCCTTGTGTTCCAAATAAAACCAAAGAAGGAATCGCAAGTGATAACATCTATGTTTCAAGAAATAGAAGACTTATAAGTACAGGCATGCATTGTCATGGTCAAAGATGGGCTTGGTTATAAAAGGCTAAGTACTGTGAGCCTGGTATTGCTGGCCCTTAACATGAACACAGAGACAAAGATGGTAACACACACACACATTACACACATTCATATTCTCTCTCTCTCTCTCTTCATGATGGTTCAGGTTCATAAGAAATTTCTAGTAAGTGTATGTGTGCTGCCCTTGTCTTCCAAATGCTGGTATGAACTGATGCCAGGGAACAGCTGGGACCCTAGTATAAGAGAGAGCAAAACCAGTCAAATAGTTACTAAAATAGGCCCTGCAGGTTTCCATTTGAGCACTTTCCTGTTAATTGCTGGTATATGCAATTTCTAAACCAAGATTTCCAGAAATGACAGCAAACAGATCAGTTATGAGATTTAACTCTTGTTGGAAAGAAACATCTTATTTTCCTAGGAAAACACAAAAGAGAGTATCTGTATTCCAGGATTTTTCTTGTTGTCAAAAATCCCTGGTCAGCTGGGCCTGGGTTCCCATGGCAGGATCAAATGCTCAGCAGGGCTGCCTTTGCCTAAAAACTGGTGGGAACTGCCCACTTTCTCTATTACAGGACTTGAGAATAGAGGTGCGCTTCAACTTAGGATTGGAGATCAACTTGAGAACTAGGGAAGGGTTCCTGGGCCTCCAAAGGGTTTCTCACTTGCTAGCCTTCTTGCCTTCTGTCTGGGGCTTGCTTTCATTCTCAGCTTCACTCAGCTCCTCTGTGGGGCTCTGGGGTTCAGAGCGAGGAAATGCTGTCTTCAAGGTGTCCACAATAGCATTCACCACCATCTGCAGGAGTTGTAGGTGCAAAGTCAGTAAGGCCATTCATATCCTAGATGGAAAGCACTGGACAGCAGAGTAGTCATCTCACTGCACTTTATGCAACAAGATGAACAGAGAGCTAGGCTACTCCCTACACAGCCTTACCCATTAGGAAAGTCAATACCAGCATATGATAACAACCTTCCCTTTTCTCTATGGCCTCCTTTTTCTCTATGAGAGTCATTTTCCTCATAGTTAAGACAAATAATGTCATGAGAAAAGAAGCCAAAACAAACAGTGGTATAAATAAAAATTTAGGAGAGTTCTGCAGATTAGTGAATACTTTTCACTTTCAGTTTTTTCTTTTATGTAAAAAAGCTTCCAAATTGACAATAATTTTACCAAGATATGAATCAGTGGAAGTAATATACGTAGGGGTGCAAGGAAAAAAGGAAGAGTGAAGGTGAAAAATAAAAAATACAGTCTAAGAGCATAAATAATACAAGCATGCTGGGAGTAATTCACACAAAGCGAAGAGTTGGTTTTTCTAGTCATGTCAAACAATTCCTCTTCTTTAGGTACAGAAAGAATAAAAATCACTCAGACCCAAATTGAGCTATCTGCAATTGATATAAACTTCTCTAACCGTAAAGAATGTCTATGCCCATACCACTCTGAACATGCCCAATCTCGTCTCTAACCATAAAGAAAAAAAATCTCATTGAAGAAAAAAGAATCATCTCCATTTCTCAGGATAGAAAAATGACAGATTTTTAGGTACAAAACACATACAAAATCCTAAAATATAAAAGAAATGGTAGAAAATATTTATTCTTCCTTGGTGCTTCTTACTAATGCTGCTGGCTCAGAGCAGCAACAAGCCTTCATTAAGTCATTCTTGTAGCAATCTTCCACAAGGACCACAGCTAGCATAGCCAAGACAAGGGTGAAAGGTCAGTAAGACTATAGGGAAGTCTAGGAAGAACAAACAGGAAGGGAACACAAAGGATACGTGAACATAGATAATGTAGCTTAGAAGATACAAGTTGCTTTCCAGCAACAAGAATTATACCCTGTGGAAGTGTCCATTCACTTTTGCCTAATCAACAATTAGTAACATGCCTGGCTCAAAAAAGGCATCCAGTAGAGGTGTTGAAAGAATCAATGACTAAATATATCTGCATGAACTCTGGGGTTTTTAGCTAGTTGACCCCTTTCTACTTGTGGTTTTTCCTTCATAGTAATGGATGTCCCCAGGTACTTATCACATGAGATTCCATTTTATTTTGTACCCCCAAGCCTAGAGGGAGGTCCCTCTCCTGCCAATGAGTCAGTGTTTCCTAACCTTGAAAAGCACATGTTATCTTCTGATGAACATAAACCTGAGGCTGGAAATTGAGGACAGTAGCTGCAAATCACAGCTTATACAGAATATACTCTGGTGTATTTCAGATGTCCGCCTCCTACTGTCTCCATGTTTGTTGAGACACCCTCTTAAAGAATGTGCAGTTCTCTGCAACATTCTGCTCTCCAGCAGAGAATCACTATGCCAATCTAAATCCTGCATAATGTCCTGTTTACAAGCTCTCTTTCTTGAGTGAACTACACTGGGAACAACCTTTCTCTCCAGAAAAGACTACCTCTCTCCCTGCAGCACATACACCTATCTATAGATGTTCACATGTATCCTTGCTTATGTTTTGACTAGAATTAACAGTATCATGACACCCCCAACAGATATATGTATACAAAGAGTCAGGGCTACTATCTCACTGTGATTCAGCAAGTTGATGATTCAACCAATACTTAGCAACAAGTATTGGAAATTCTTCTAGTCTAAGTTCTATTGATCCCTCTATGCTTCCTCTTCCTAAAAACTATCTCTCTTATTTTCTAAGCACTGCCTCTATTCTGATGAACACTCCACATTTAGAAAGAAACAAAAGCTGAGTATAGTGACCCTTGCAGTTACCTTGTCTATTCTAGACACCATGAACGGCTTCTTAACAAAGGCAATACGAGCATCTGTGTTCAGAGCAAGGAACTCCTGCATTTCCTCACTGTTAGCAATCTCAGGAATGGCACAGAGTTGCTGCAAAAGTAAAACACAAGGATTTAAAAGAGAAATTACAGTCCCCAGATCTCTCTACCTTGGCTTAGGTATGTGGGGATCAGAAGGAGAGCAAAGCCAAAAATCAGGAGATGCTGACCTTTAGGAATGATTCCAGGAGGCTCTTACGGGCTTCTACTCTGTCACTATCCATGTTTCCAAAGGGAAGATCTGGAAAGAGCTTTTTGGGACCCTTTACATCTTCAAAATAAAACAAAACAAATTCATTCTATGCTATAGAAACTATTCCACATAAAACGTATCAAACATACAAAGAAAACAGAATTATTGAATATGTTTCCTTGTTTTTTTTTCCTAATATTTTAGGAGTTCTAAACATACCCCAGGGATCTGATGCAAACAATCTGCCCTCATTATTAATGGGAACAGATACAATACAGTGGTTACAAGTGAGGGTTCTGAAGTCCAATAGTTCAAGTTTATGTTTTGGCTCCAATCCCTAGTTCAATAATAACCTTAAGCAAGTTGTATAATCTTTCTGAGAATTCTTCTCTTTCCTATAAAAAGGGATAATGATAATATCTATCTTGTAGGCTATGATGAGAATTAAATGAACTATCATGTAAAGTGCTTAGGAGAGGACCTGACACAATTTTCAAGCTTGCTTCAGTATTAGATATTATTAAGAAAGAAAATGAACAATTTAGGTTCAAACTTATTGTTTACATTGGCAATTACTGGAACTAAAAAAAAAAAGTAGGCAGTTGTTAGCTTATTTTTTAAGTGTTAAATTTTACTATATTTTCTTATTTTCCCTGTGCCTTAATGGTGTTAACAGCACACAAAAGGCCTGTTTGTTAAAGGAAAGTAACAAGGATGTCTGGGTAATATTTTAATATTTAAGACTAACCAGTATATGGATCTAGAAAAGCTAATGTAATTCTTTGCACTAGCTTATGGACATAGGTAGATATATGAACGTTTCTTTTTTAAGTGTAAAGTGGATGGGGCACTAGAACAAAGAATTCAGTAATAAAGGACTACCTTAAAAAGAATGTGATCAGCACTAAACTCCCAAATTTATGAAGCAAGCTTGAGGAAGACAGAACCTCAATGTTGAATTCTCCTCCCCACAAACCCATAGGCCACCAAACATTCAGATCAGGGTGGTTAACAAATAGGCAGTCTGGGGCTGGGAAAACTCCTGACTTTTGATGAATTTTCGTAGATCTGGTTTCTCTTCCAGACGAGTTTGCAGATTCAAGAATTCCCGGTAGCGGCGGTTCACAGTGTGGTAGGCCAGCTGCTGCAGACTGCTGCTGTTTTCACCACTAAGGGATGTCTCATACTGAAAAAGGAAGAGATCTATTGAACAAATCAGCCATGTCTAAGCAATCTGCTATTCTGGCTTTAATGATGACTTGTTCAATGGCCATATAATAGTAGAGTATGAATAAACAGAGGGAGATATTTCTATTCTGTTGCAGAATGAACTATAGCTGATCACTTCCCAGTGTGGTAATGAAGAACTCAAACTCCAAAAGTGGCTGAATTAAGGAATGAGCTGCACTTCCCGATATATTTGGCTCAGAAAGTCAGAAATAAGTTCCACTTATTACACTGTAACATCCATCCAAAAGCTCCCTCCCTCAGATATTTACAAAATGACTATATAACAATTTTTCAAATCCCAAACACTGAGTGTAAAACAGAAGATATTACCTTCTGTTATAGAAGTGATGATACCATCTCTAACACCTTTAAATTACAGACCAGTCCTCATAAGGGGACAATTTCTTTGCCATTACATTCAAATAATATACATGAGTTTCAGAAAGAACAAATAATCCCAAACAGCAGGCAATCTGAAATCATTTCTTTGCCTGGAATAAATTAAAATGGACATGTGTTTTTGTTTGGCTTTGGGAAGGTTAATCTTCCTAATTGTTAATCTTAGAATTAAATGGAAAATTTTTTCCTAAATATGTACAATCTAATATTGTAAGTCATGTGATGATTGGAGATAATGTAAGAGGTTAGTCTGCTGCCTTCATATGCTTGAGAAGCTGGTACATCAGAAAGATGACTGGTACTACACATTCCCGGAAGAACGCATAAAAGCTGCAACTCAGCACAGGGGAAGATTTTTTGGCAAGAGTAGTTAAGACAGAATGAAATATTGTGGGAGAACTATACATGTGCCCATTCTTATTAGGAATGGGTTATTGTTATTATTTGGCTGAGGTATTATATTGTGTTAAATGATGGAAAAACTATCTCCTTGTTGGTAAGACTTAAGGCTGGTGTTTTTATATTTTCTAGAGCTAGAGATGAAGACATATTCACTATGAGATAAAGTAAGCAAAGAAGTCTCTCCAACTAGTATTGAAGAGGAAAGAGAGACAGATGGAATTCAGGGTGGGGCTCTCAAGCTTGATGCTCCTCAGAGTTAAATGCTTTCTGTGGAATATTCTGCTCCTTGAAGGGATAGTACACAATACTGATATGTTCAATTCCATCATGTAAATTGAAAACTGCTTTCCCATCAGAATGTATAATATTGACATAATTTAGAAACACAGTTATAATATGTCCATATAAAAATATATACCCAATCTGAAACTATGTATAATTATCTTGCTCTTTTTTTACTTTACTCTTTTCTAATGCCTACTTGAAGTAGGTAGTAGCTGCTGTCAAAATTTAGCAAGAAAAGAAAAAGAAAAAAGAACATACAATGTGAGAAAAACTATGGTCTTAAAAATACTCTCCATCAACTGACAAGGAAAATTGTTGTTTAATAACTGTTGGAATAACCAGAAGTCAGCAGTTATATGTGAGAAATATGCATGTCAAAGAGACACCTAGAATTAAGAGAACAAAAAAGCAGGCAAAATGTTAGCAAAGTTGTACTAGTCAGGCTATCCACCTGTACTTCCAAAATGTGGGATGTGTGCAGGAGTGTACGTATGCTTCTGACTACTCCCAGTCTTACACTGAGAACGTCATGTCACTTTTCAAGATGTTACATCATGCTGCTGTGGCTCAGCAAGCTGAGGAAGGCCCTTTTCCTCTTGGATTGGAATCTCAGAGAAGAGTGCCGTATTCACACTCACGCATGTGCCTAGTTGTAGTGTTTGTGTTCAGAATGAGGGAAACTCAAGGAGAAGGTAAGTAAAATACAAAAATATAGGGTCTTGCTTAGGAATTCTCTTTCCAAACTTCTTCCCTGCTAGCTTCTTTCTTTGAAATACTAATATCTTTTGTACTTTATTTTGGGAAGGTATTTACCTCAGAAGGTGGCAGTTCCTTACTTCTGGAAGTATTTAAGTCGTCTTGGCAGAAATGTCATGAAAAAGGCTGGTTAGATCATAGCAGCAGCTCTCCCAAAATGGCCTTGGCCCAGGCTGTCTCCATGCTAGTTGGAGAGTCCATTGCTTAAGAAATATAGACTTCTGGGATGTATGCTTAGAAATTCTCTTTCAGAATCTATTAGAGTCTATCAGAATAGGAGTATTTAAAACGCAGCCCAAGTAATTTTGAGGTGCAACCAGGTTTGGGAGCCACTGACTCTCTGTATTCAAGCCACCCTGAGCTTCTAGGATTGTTTGTGTGGGTTCAGGATAAAAGTCTGCTCTGCCTTACAAATGATCTTTAGACATTCGCATACAGATGCTTGCTGACTTACACACAGCAAACTAAGAGTAATCTCCTCCCTGAGAACATTACTTTTCCTGACTGACTCATTCCCAGCCCAGAGTGGTTAACCACCATTTAATCCCATTACCTTCACAGTGTAGAGTGTGTATGGATGGGATCCACCGCCACTGTGTTCTCGGGCAGTGATGGTGCCAGTGATACGAAGGTTCTGGATGACAACTGGACCATCTGGACTGCTCAGGGGCTCAAAGCTGAAGGTGGCTGAGCTGAGAGGACCAGGTGGAGAGGAAGAAAGTGGAACTGATGACACAGTAGAATCGAGGGAGCTCACACCATTGGCAAGATCCTTCTCTAAGCATGAAGGTCGTGAAGGACAGGTCTTTTCTGGTTCCTCCAGCAAAGCTGTCAGAGAGGTGGCATCACCTTGCTCTACCTCCTTGTCTGCTCTGTCAATCTGGATCTCTGGGCAAGAGTTCAGCATGGAGACCAGCAGGCCTGTCTCTGTTCCTGTTCCTGGACCCTCCTCAGTCTCTGTTCCTTCAATAACCTCAGCTCCTTCGCCATGGAGGACACCACATAGGGCATCCTGGATCCTGTCAGAGAGGAAGTTGCCTGGGGTCATGAGCATGATGGTTTCTTTGCTGAGTTCAGAAAGTGGAGACTCCAGCTCTGAGTCTTCACATAAGAATAGTGGTCCTCGAATATCTGGCTTTAGGAAATGAGATGAGTTGTTTCTTACCTTTCTTTCTTCAAGCATCCCAGCCAAATCTCCCTCTATAACTTCATGGCCTTCTTCAACTTCTGGGGAGGGGCCTGGCTCACTGTAGTTTAGGAGTACTGGGGCTGGTACTGGAGAAGGGGCTCTTCCTTCTGGGAGACTCTCTACCTCAACAATTAATGGCAGAGACGTGGGCACCGAGGGCTGCTCCGAGGCATTGGGTGGGCAGAGTGGTTTAGTCACTTGTGCTGGATCATTTCTGGCCTTGGAAAAGATACCCACTAGTACAAGGTGAATCCAGTCAGGATCTGACAATTTGTTGATCAGTGGTAAGATGACATTACAAGTAACGAGTTCGACTACTACATGGCGTCCAGTTCTAGTCTCCAAGTGGGGCTTGGGCACTAGCCCTTGAAGCAACAAATTCACAATGCCACGTGTATAGGTGACTTCAGCACTGGGGTTATGCACAGCGGGATGTGGAGCAGTAGCCCGGCAGTAAGCATCCCACAGCTGGGAGGGTTGGACTCGATCACTCTGCTTCCCTGAAGTGGCCTCCTTTGCCTGAATGTAGCTCTGCAGGTGACAACCACAGAGAGTCAGAATCCTCTGGGCAAGAGCATGTCTGTCCACTATACCCATCCTCCTCCGCAGCTCCTGAACCAATCCTTTCATAGCTGCCTCCATCTCTTTCTCAAAGGCTGGCTCCTGGCTCACTGAACGATACCAGGATAACACAAAATCCCGAATAATCATCTGGATGGTGTGGTTGATCTCCTGTTCCAGCTGTTTTTCTGCCTCAGGGCATGGAGGGCAGGTATCCACTAGGATGAAGCGTTCCAGATGCAGTCGACCTGAGGCCCTCACAATGGCGCTGGAGCCCAGCCATCCTCCTAGAACCACTAGTGATGCTGACAGAAGGCACAGAAGCCACACATTGACCAGAAGGTGAATGACGAGGAGCCAGGCGAGCAAGACTCCCACAACCATTAGCTTTCGGCTACTCCACACATCACTGAAGACATAGCTGGGCTCTGCTGGGGTTTCCCGGATCGGGGTCACTGTCTCTGCCTTCATGGCTGGAAAGATCGGTGGCTTCCCCAGATAACAGTTTTCTTTCTATTTTATTTCAGTGTCAGAGGACGGGGTAAGAACAGCTCAAGACAAGAGAAGTCTGGGTGCTATTTAGGGAACCGACAGTGGCCCCAGCCCTCGACGTCCTACAGACACTGCAGAGGGACAGCGACAGCTTTGCTTCTTCCTCTCACTGCTGTCAACAGGGTTCCCCAACAAGCCACTTCCAGGGGAGATGCTGTTTTCCAGGAAAACTCTGCGGCCAACATAATGCCCGGACGGAGAGCCTCTTAGCGGCTTCAGGAAGCGGGGGACAGGACCCACGGGGACGCAAAACACTTACAAACGCTGAAGCAGCGGCCGGCGGATCCAGGCACACGTTCCCGTGGCCGCGCATCCAGATTGAGCTCCCCTCTGGAATGGATTCATCGGGGTTCCCTCCGGCGGCCTCGGTCCGCAGCCACAGCAGGCTCAGGCGGCCGGGTGACTGAGCCCCGCATCCCGGGCTCTGTCGGGGCTGCCGGCCAGCCGGCCGCCTGCGACTGCTTCCGGGTCGCGGTCGGCGGGAGTGAGGCATGCTGGGAGAGCGGCCGCACGCCGGGAGGAGCGGAGCTGCGGGCGCCCCCTGATGGTAAGGAGCAGTGGTGACGGCAGGTGTGCTCGCTGAGCTCAGAACCACACAAGACAGCTAGCTAGGAAGGCCTGGAAAAAATTCCCAAAGTGTCATAGAAGGGAGGTCTTGGAAGAGCAGCACATGTCTTTAAAAAGTGTCAGGCTGTAATTGTTAAATGTTCTCTGTAAACATCTCTTCCGGATTTGGCAAAGTTTCAGTAATGCAGTTTATTTTAATCCCATGAGGCCATACTTTCACTGAATTCATAGATTTTAACATTCACTCTGCTTCCTCCAGAGACATCCTCCCCCACCTCATTCCCAATTCACAGCCCACCTGACTTGTTCTCGGGAATTGCAAAATACAACTTGTAAATTGGAGTAAAAGGATAAATACACTCCTTAAATTTCACACACTGCATCACAAAATCGAATTTGGGATTTGGGATAGTTTACTAGTGGCACTACTGAAGTTGTCAAATATTTTGAGCTATGTTCAGTGACTGTAATAGATAGAGTGGAGGAATAGAAGCCATCTATGTTCAGTGACTGTAATAGATAGAGTGGAGGAATAGAAGCCATCCTTGACTTTAGGGAATTCTTGAACACAAATGGATTTACAACAAAGTAAGTCAGTACCAGATATGGTAAAAGATAAAATCATAAAGGTGTTCAGGGGAAGGAAAGATCTTTGTGAATTTCAGTGGTTTAGGGGACCTCATCAAGAAGATGACTATCTTCTTATGCCATATCTTCAAGAATGGAGGCTTCTTTTTATCCAATTACATCGCTTTTTCCCCTTTCCTAAATACATAGGAAAGGAAGGCAGAGATGTGGGTTTAGATGATCCTCTAAGATATTTGGGTTGGAATATACTCTGTGTTTGTTTTCAGTGTTAATACACATTTTTTCAGTTGTCTACACAAACAGAACTGCCTGCAGGAAGATTAAATCTCAGACATTTGTTTGAGTCCATTTGATGTGAAGCCAGCTTCCTTCCCCACCTTGGTTCTTAGGAATTCTGTCTGCACTGCAGCTATCCCTTTTATTTTGGCACAGGATGAATATCATTTGCACAGAGCTTCTCATGGTTGCCCGTCTTCAGCATTCTGTATGCTGTTGGCAGCCTTTCATCATTATAGCATTTAATCCCTAGATGTTTAATGGAATCTTCAGGCAAATTCCAATCCCAAATGATGACAATAGAAAGATATTAGAGCTTCTTCTCTCATCTCCATTTCTACCGTTGATAAAATAATTCCTTTTTAATGCAAAATCATTTAGGTATAGGGCATGGCTTTTGACTAATCACTTCTAAAGCAAATGGTGCAATTTAAGATCAACCTGTCTACTAAGCAGACTGGACAAATTCCCTAAATCCCAGAATGTCATACTATGCTTCAATTGCATATTACATTGCTACTCTCCTTCTCATAGAAAAGAAGCATGAGAAGTGAATGTTGTCACTTTTTGCCCTCCCAGACTGTTGTGTTGATTTCACGAACAGCTTGAAGATGACAATGATGCTCTGGAGAAATATTGTTGCCACCTAGTTGAAAACTAAAGCAGAAAATTGAATGACAGAGAACTGATGATGCTTCAGGGAGAAAGTTTACTCTGCAGCACAATCTGGGATATTCAGGGCAGTAAGGAACTGACCTTGTACCTGGGCACTGTGCCACTTGACCAGATGGTCTGGAGCACTGAGGTAGCCAAGACTGTCCTCCTGATTTTGAGGCAGATTTGATGGACATGCTGGTGCACTTTTCATGTGGATGGGTGTAAGTTTCTGCCCAGGGATCTGGGCCAGGCCTCTTTTTCCAAACAGATTAATCACTGGGAGGAGGTAAGAGTCATGACTGATGTGCAGTGGTGTATGTATGTAGTGCGGAAAAGCTGGCTGGCTGGCCACATCACTCTCCTCTTGACTGGTTTGTCCTTCTTTTCTTACCATTTCTCGAAACATTAAAGGCATAGTGCTAGAGTGTTGGGGATAAAAAGACAAATAAGGCAGCAATTCATCTCAAAGGACTCTCAATTTTGATATGAGAGACACATGGAGAAATGCAATTAAACATGACCTCATGTTTAATGTAATCCACTATGATAGCTGCACTAGAAGTATGTTCAAGAAATAGGACCAGAAAGAGGAGTAGTCAACTGGGAATTGGGTGCCTCATAGAAGCTTACCCTTAAGATGGAAAATAGAAAAGTGTAAAGTCTATTTTAGCAAAATGTAGGATAGAGAGAACAAGGACATAGGAAGGAAGTTGTTTTAGGCAGCGGCATATATGTGAAGACAAGTAGGAAGAGTGAAAGCAAAGGGCACAATAAATAGAAATCAAGTAGAAATCAGCCCATGCAGCACCTCAATTTTCTCTTAAAAGCAGAAAACAAGGTAACTTACTAAAGAGAGGTTTGGTGGTGGGGCAGGAGAGTGGAGAATAGGAGATGGTGTGGAGTTATTGCCATGAGAAATAGAAGAGACCCTCATGAAGGTCACATGAAGGAAAAAGAGGACCTAGGTCTGAGAACCTAGATGAAATTATTGGTCATAAATTTGTAGAGGCACCAATATATATTGTTGAATTGTTTTCTCCTGAGATGTTTAGTAGCCTCTGTAGGACAGAAGCAAGCAGGAAGTTGATCTGTTGTTGCCATGTTAGGTTTATCAGAGTAGATGAAGAAAAATGATAACTGGTTAGGACCTTGACATTCTGAGAAGAGAGGTGTTAAAATTGAAAATTGTGATCTCTAGGTGCCTGGGAAAGGAAATGAAGCCA